AACACAGGGCCTCCTTCCTGTCTTTTCAACGCCCTGCAGCCTTCGGACCGCCAGAGACCTCAGGAGGCAGAGTTTGTTTTGCAATTAGTATGGCTGTCGCTAGCATCAAGAACAGATTTCTTCAGTCAACTGGCATGACCTAGAACTTCTCTCTTATCTAACAGTTTCTGGAAAAGTCAAATCAATTTTATCCAAGTAGGAAAAGCATACAAACAAAGCCAGGCCCTTGACTGCAAAAACTGAGGATGCAAACTGAAAGAAAAAAAAAAATGACAATTCCTTTTACCCACCCTGGCCCCCTCTTTTGGAAATACCAGAAGCAGCCACAAGAACAAAGATGACCTGTAGGACCAAAGGGAGCTTGAGAGCCAAGGGCAAAGGCCCTGAAATCTGGAGGCCCAAGCCAAGGGCATGGACCTTACCTCTGTGAAGGAGTGACCTGGCAGCATCCCCAACAAGTAAGAGCACACCTGATAGAGAGCTGGATAAAGGGGGTACACTTCTACAAGGCTAAGCTCTGTGTGTGGGCCTAAGGCCTGCATCCCCAGTGATCTGCAAAAAACGAGTTTACATAACAGGCCTTTGTGTTGTCCCAGATAAGAGTGAGTAGAGGAGCAGTTTTAAGGATTTAGAAAAGGCTGAGATTTCCTGGGGGACAGTGAGGTGGGGAGGAGCAAGAGGTGAGGGGGGGGTTAACAAATCATCTGTCTACTAAGAAACAGGTTAGACCTATAAATATAAAACTGTCAAATATTACTGAGGAACATAAAACCAGATCTGAGTAACTGGAAAAGCATTCCATGTTCTAAAGTAGGAATATTTGATATCATAAAAAAGCCACCTACCTAACTTAGGGAGGAAAATAGTAACCGCAGCAATAGTAAAGTAAGACCTGATTTCTTGGTTTTATTCACAGCAGCACATTCAGGATAGACAAGAAATGGGTGACACTGCTTACCTCTCTTCAGCGGACACTCGGTGGCTTGGGGGACAAAGGTAGAAGGGAGATTTGTGACTGTACACCCTTTTAAGTCTCTGACACTTTGAAATTCTGAACCACGTGATGGATTATCTATTCAAAAATAAGTAAAGGGAATTTTAAACTATCTTAAGTCCTCCACAGTTTCCCAACCACCCTAGAAGCAGGCAGAACAAAGACCATTAGTTTCATTTACAAATGAGGAAGCCTGGGGCCCCAAGAAGGGAAAATGAATGCCACAGTGGTGGCAGGGATGGAAGTGAGACCCAGACCTTCAGTGGCTCACAATCCAGAGACTAGCAGCACCCAGATTTGCTCTCAAAGTTCCTTCTGCGTAGCTGGAGCTATACATGAACCCACAAGGCGGTACAGGGACGAATCAGTCACCACACAATGAGTGCCCCTGGACAGCAGGGCAGGCTCTGGGAGCTGTTAGAGTCCAGCCAGAAGTTCTCTTAGCTGACAAATGCCCAGAAACTCTTCGGGGTTTCAACCGTATTAATGAAAATCTATCAAATGCCCAAGTCCACGTTCTTCTCTCAAGGCATAGTGGCTGCAGCTGCATTTTTACTAGATTCATTAACTTGCAGCATTTCAGGGTCATCATCATGAACTCTGAGGGACTCAGAAGGGCGGCCAAGTGTAAAAACAAGCACTGGGCTTAGGAGCCAGCCAGACCCGGGGTTCAGATCTGGTTCTGTCATTGGCTTGTGTGTGGCCTTGGGCAAGCTGGTCACTTCACTTATTTGGCCTTAGGATCCTCTCCATAAATAAAAACCAATTATAGACAGAGTGAACCCCAAATGGACACTGCTATAGATGAGGGAGTCGTAGCTATACAGGCAGCTTGAATGGCTGCACCTCCAAGGCGGGGAGACCAGCACACATGCTAACTGCTGTGGCCCTATGTACACATATCCCTTCATGGAGAAGAGGGCTGGGAGGTCAGGGAGGGCCTCTGTGGAGAGGTGGCGTTCACAAAGGAGCTGAATGACTGAGCCGTGGTTACGCAGAGATCTGAGGGCAGACACAAAGGTCCTGAGGCAGGAATGTTTGAAGAAGAACCAAAGGATAAAGGAATCTGGAGAGTAGAGGATGAAGGCAAAGGCAGGCAGGAGAAGAGAACCAGGCAGCCAGGGGTCCAACTCTTCAGGTCAGGTGGTATCCTGCTTGCAAGGGGGATAATCACTAAAGTCAAGGGGTCTAATTAGATCTGTGATCTTCCAGTCCTTTTCTTTTTTTAGCTGCTGAACTCTAGTCAAATAAAAGCATGTGGAACCACACAGAAATCCAGAGAAAAGTAGTACTGCTCAGGGTAGGAGAAGCGAGTGAAGGCCTGGCTGAGCTTCTCCCCTCTTGGCCTTCCGCCTTAACCCCGCAGACCCCAGGCTGGGGCTCTGAGGAGCTGGAAAGCACTGGCCAGCCAGCCTGCAAGCTTCCTCCAGCTCTGAGCACAGCCCGGGTCACAGGGAGAGCAGCTTTAGGTGTTCCGGCGGGTGCTCACTGGGCCTGGCACAGGTGCTGGGAAGGCTGGCATGTAACTCCCTCATGTGGGCAAGCTTTCCAAAGCAACAGCCGTCAAAGTGGCTCACCAAAGCCCTGGGTCAAAGTCACACCGCTGGAGCCAGAGGGCCACAAAACAGTGGCTGAGGGGCGGGAGGGAAGACTTCGCTGGAGGGAGGAATTCTAATGGCTTCCCTGGGCGGCGGTTACAGGGCAGTGTACACTTGTTAAAATTCACAGAACAGTGTCTTATGTGGGTGATGTTTACTCAATAACCTCAATAAACTGACGATTTTTTTTTTTACCACAAGACTGGAAGACACCTCAGAGGAATGTTTTTGGGTGAGATTCCGAGAGGAAAATGACCTGCTCCTACTGAGTCAGTAAAGCCCAGAAACTCTGACTTGAGTTTCCCCACCCCTGCTGCTCTGTTTTATTCTAGCCTCCACAGAGCCTGGGTTTCAGGTTTCTCTCACTGCAGGATGCTGAGGTAAATCATTGCCAAAGGCTTCCCCACTGCAAACAATCCAATTCTAAGAAGCAGTCTGGTGACAGACCTGGCTGATCCGAAAGCTTTGGAGGGAGGAAAACTGGAAGAAAAACTCCCACCTGGGTCCATCCAGCTGAGTGCCCTGCGCCAGCCTGCTCTGTGTGAGAAGGGGTTAAGAACAGGAACACATCTGTAAAACGGATGGCACACAACAGACTCTCCAGAAGGGCGGCTGGCCTGGCTGTAGGAGCTCTTCAGGGCTGGGCCACACCCACCCTGTCCTGCAGCTGCCAGTCCCACCGCTGCTGCCTAAGAACAATCTGGAGGTAACCATAAGGAAAAGAAATCACGACCAGCCTGCCCTGCATTGCATAACCTGTGCTCGGGTACACAGTACACCCTGGGCTCTGCAGGGCAGGTTGTTATCTTGCCAGGTAAACAGGAACACCCTGCCCCCTCCCTGACCACCACAGAGCCAGCCACCTCCAGGCCATCACCAAGCTCCCGCACTTGCGGGAGCTAGGCGGGAGCGGGCCCCCAGCTGGCAAACACCGCTGCTGTTGAGCCCTATATTTTAACATCCACTTTCCCTGTGGCTGCTGGCAGCACCTCAGGGCTCAAACGCGCCTTGGACACACTCCACCCATCCCACAGCCCTTCCTCTCGCCACCTGCTCCAAAGGGTAGTCCCAAATGACTCAGAGCTGCCTGCCACACCTTGCTCCTTCTATCCCGAGGAGACCAAAAACACACAGAAACCAAAAGACTATTAAAAACAAACCCCAAAACCCATCACGACTTCAGGCAGGGCGTTTCCGCTTCCCCTGTGGCTCCGACTTGGGGAGGTGCGGTGCTGGAGGAAAGACTGTGGGCTTACTTCTCCACAGTGGGGCAGGAGGCAGGCAACACCCTGAAATTATCCTAATGTTGCAGAAACAAAGAGCTAAGTCTCCCCACCACAGGCCATCAGTCAGCGCAGCTGCAGCGTCCTGGTGCATCAGGACTCAAGTGACTCCCTGCCTGGACTCAACTTCTGGAAAACAAGGCGATAACAGGAGATAAGGCTGGCCCCGCGCTGGCCCTGCCGGCAGCTGTCCTGAACATCATGTGAGCGCAGCTAGCAGCAGAGAAAGCACAGGATTGCCATCCAGCCCGGAGAAGTTCTGAACAAGCACAGTGCTGTCCCGGCCAGGGCTCCTACTCTCCTAGGGAGGGTGAAGCCCGGGCGAAGAAACCCGATTGATTCTCTGATCACACATAGGATTCATCAAGCCTTCGCCAGGGCACGGTGGCAACTACATCCTGCTGATTCTGTTCGGTGCCGTTGCCAAAGCTTGGTCTTCTCCCCCACCTTCCGGTATCTGTGAAGTTTTCAGTTTCTAGCGAACTCCAGCTGGGGGAGGGGACCGGGCTGGTCCAGTCGAGTAAAGTTCCACCAGCAGGTCCACAAAGGGACGGCGGGGAGGCGTGGCCAGGCCGGAAATTCTGACAAAAAGTTCTGGCCCTCGGGTCCCAGAAGCCGCTACTTCCTGATCCCTACCAGACGTGGGGGGTGAAAGTTTTCGAGCTGGGGTCCCCGCTGTGGGTCGGCTGGGCACTGGGGCTGCACTGGGGAAGAGTCGCGCCGGCCAGGCGCCTTTCCGCACCCCCACCCCATCGGGGCGCCCCGCTGCCTTCCACCCGCTAACTTCTTTTGGATCAAAGTCCCCCAGGATGGGAGGGCAGAGCCTCCTCCCACGCACTAACCCCCCAAAACACACCCAGGCCCCCAAGGTCCGCGCTTTGCGAACCTCAACCCCGACTACACCCCAAGTTCCAGGCCTCCTGCGACAGAGGAAGCAAAAGAGATTTTCCAGAAACCTCAGGGGCGCTCGCCGCGGCCTGGGACTCCACAGCCCCCGCCGCCTCCAGAGGGAGAACCTTCCAGAGCTCCCGAGCTGCCCCCTGGAGCCCCCGGGAGCCCCGGCTGCGGAGCAGCGGGAGAAGGCCAGGCCACCCCGGCGACGCGACCCCAGGCCGGGCCTCCCACCTTGACCCGCTTGCCCTGGATCTCCAGCGTCTTCATGGTGAAGTCGACGCCGATGGTGCTGCCCTGGCGCTCCGTGAAGACACCCGTCTTGAAGCGCTGCACCACGCACGTCTTGCCCACGCTCGCGTCGCCCACCAGCACCAGCTTGAACAGGAAATCGTACTGCTCGTCAGGGTCCCCGGGGCCCGGGCCCGGCCCCGCCATGGCCGCGCGGGAGCCGA